GGGAAGGTGCATCTTGAAGGAGGTGGATGTGGACCTGGGAATTTTACAGTGGGTGGTTGTGAGGGCGGTGAAGGGGCGCCAAGCGCATGGAGGGAGGGAGGTCAGGAGGCGTATTTGAGGAGTGCTCAAGGGCCTGGAGGGGAGGGGTGGGGAAAGCTGAAAGTGGGAGAGAGGCCTTTGGAGGCATTAAGTTTATGAACTTGTTTTCTGTTTGGTCCCATTTAAAGCATCCACTGCCCCGCAGTCACAGTGACACATGAGAACACTTTACAAGATTAAAGGAACCACTTGAACCCAGCAAAGCTGGCAGATGCCCCTGAGGTTCATCTGCTTGCCTGCAGCGATGTCTTTCTGGCCTATGAGCCAAGGTGGAAATGCAGGGGGAAAAATTACTATTTTTCCATTACTTAGTTATCTTTTACCTCCTCATCCTTTACAAATTCCAAGCATCATTTCCTGGGTCGAAGAGGAATTGGGTCCTTCCTTCTTCTCCACTTCCTGCCTTTAAAAGTGGAGCCCCACCAGGCTGGGCGAGGCTGCGCTGCAGCCCTGGCCTGGAAAGGAGAGAGCCTGAGCTGGGCACCCCTGCTTCAGACCAGGACAAGCAGCTCGGGGTTGTATGGCTGAAATGTGTCACTTCCTATTTGCTCTGGCTTCACAGTCCTTCCTGCACCCATGAGGTTCCTTATGTCACTCACACATTCAAGGACTGCTGGTTTCTCTGGATTTGATCTTTCCTTTGAGAACTGCTGGTTTTGAAAAACAAATTCAAATGACTTTTCCTATATGAGTTTTCCTTTCATGGCTTTCAGTTTTACAGGAAACGGATCCACCCCTACCCCCCACCCCACGCTCTGTATGTATCTCTAGGGGTTGTAATCTGCTTTTTCATATCTGAAATCAATTAACTTATTTTTCATATCCGAAATTAAAAAAAAACCCATTAATTGTTTTGGTTATATTCTGTGCATTTAGTATACAAAAGAACCCACTTGTCACTTTTCAGAGGAAGCCAAGGACACTGGCGTTCACCTTGGGGATGAAATGCAGATTTCATGAAAAGGAAAGCTGCATCATTCCGAAAGGTTGAATAGAAAAGGACTTACAGCAAAATGTCAGCTGAAGTTTCATGCGCTGAATTCAGCAAGGTACAGAAACTTTTCTAAATACCACCATTTCTCATTTGTGCCTGCGTTTCAGGATTCAGAGTCGTAGAAATGAGGATTCATCCCGAGTTGAACTGCAGATGGAATGGCCAACCGTCCTGGCTTGCGCGGGACCAGTGGGTTGCCCAGGATGGGGCTGTCAGTGCTAAAACTAAGGCGGTGTGGGGTCCACTGGGACGGTCGTTGCTATACCTGTAGACCAGGTACAGAAGTTCATGTCTGTCACATCACAAGCCCTGGGCAGTTTGTTTTACCACCAGGCCTCAGTTTCCTCCGTTTTAAACGGAGAAGGTTAAGCGAGGAGGTCGCCCTCCTGTTAAAAGTGATCGCTCATTGAACCTTGAGTTCCAGGGTGTCTGCTAAACTGTGCTTCTGTTTTCCAGATAACTTTTATTGAGATCCAGTTCACATACCATAAAATAAAAAGTTTACACTTTAGTGGCTTTGCGCACAGTCTCAGAGCTGGGCAAACGTCGCCATTTCTTTTTACTTCTATTCCTCAGAACTGGATAATCTCAATTAACTTCATTTACTCATTCTTTCTTCGGCCGGCTCAGCCCCTTTAGTGATGATTTTTTCATTTAAGTTATTGTACTTTTGAATTTCTATTTAGTTTTTTTATACATACAATTTCTATCTTCTTATTGATAGTCTTTATTTGGTGAGAAATGGTTCTCTTTTTTTTCCCTTTAATTCTTTAGACATGGCTTCCTGTAGTTCTTTGAGCACATTTATAATAGTGGATTCAGTCTTGTCTAGTAAGTTTGACTTTCGTGCTTCTTTGTCTCATCATTTTTTCTTGAAAACTGGACATTTTCAATAAAATAATGTAACTCTGAAAGTCAGAGCACTCTCCCCCTCGGTTTGCTATTGTTGCCGCCGCTGCTGTTCATTTGTTTAGTGACTTTCTTGGATGAATTCTGTAAAGTCTGTATTCCCTTTCATGTGTGGACATTGTAATCTCTGCTTGGTTAGCAAATACTCCGCTCATGCTTGGGCACAGGGTTCCTTAAAGGCCATGAAGCAGTAAGACTTCCGCTCCTTGGCCCTTGCATGTGGTGGAGCAAACAGTGCCTCATGGCTACAGGGTTTCCAGCTCTGCCTCGTCTTTCTCAAGGTCAGTCAGAGGTGAGAGATAAGGGCCTTCTCAGGTATACACATACCACGTTTCGGTTATACATTCATCCACCTGAAGGACATTTCAGTTGTTTCCAGTTTGGGGCTATTATAAATAAAGCTGCTGTAAACATTTGGGTATAGGTTTTTGTGTAAACGTAAGTCTTAATTCTCCTAAGTAAAAACCTAAGAATGGGATGGCTGGGTCATGGGCAACAAATGTATATCAAACTTGATGAGAAACTGCCAAATGGTCTTCCAAACAGGTGTACCAGTTTGCCTTCCCACCAGCAACGTTTGAGAGCTCCTGCTGCTCTGTGTCCTGGCCAGCACTTGGTAGTGCCATTCTTTTTTAATGTAGCCATTCTAGCTGGTGTGCAGTAGTCTTTCAAGGTGGCTGTAATTTGCATTTCCCTAATGACTCATGCTGCAAATGAAGCATCTTTGAATGTGCTTGCTGGTCTTCTGTATATCTTCTTGGGTTAAGCGACTGTTCAGATCTTTTACCCATTTTTTTAATTGACTGGTTTTGTTGTTATGGTTGAGTTTCAAGAATTCTTTATATATTACAAAGTTCTGTTTTGATTTCAAATGCATAACCCCTGCCCTGAGACTCTGGTATTGAGCACCTTGGCTTGACATCTGTGACATAATGTTTTATTTTTTACAACATATGATACACACACACACACACACACACACACACACACGGTGCCAAAAAAATTGCATACACATTTTAAGAAAGTAAAACTGCATTAAAATTGTAATACTCAATATATACCAATAATAAAAGATGAATACAAGTCACTTTTGACTTCTGCAATTACAAGAGGTGCTCAAAGTGGTCACCATCAGTGTCCAGACACTTCTTTTTTTTTTTTTTTTTTTTAAAGATTTTTATTGGGGAATTGGGGGGATGGGAACAGTGCTGGGGAATTGGGGAAAGGGGAACAGGCAAGTTGCTGTCGTTTTGTTCTTCAATCTAGTTGTGGAGGACGTTGCTTCACTGGCCCAAGTTGGCACCATCATTGTGCTCTTCTCTGGCGAGGCAGATCAGTCGCCGGCATCTGGACGGCCGCTCACTGCGGCTGCTGGCCGCTCACGCTGGCTGCTGGCCACACACGGTAGCCCATTGCAATCCACTGCCACAGGGACTGCAGCCCACGCCGTCGCCAGCGACTCATGGCAGCCTAGCTCCAGGTTGAGCTGTTGTTCAGCATCTTAGCTGTAGAGGGCAGTGTCACTGGCCCTCACATGTGGGATCCGAACCGGGGCCCTCTGGCATCCCAAGCGAGTTCTTAACCATTGCGCCACTCGGCCGGCCCCAGACACTTCTGATTATGGTAAACTACTGCTTGAGCAACGCTGATAAAGTGTCCAATTGCATATGAATTTTTTTGGACCCTGGTGTGTGTGTGTGTGTGTGTGTGTGTGTGTGTGTGTGTGTGTGTACATATTAGAAATTATATATATAATAGAAGTTATATATATATATATATATATATATATATATATATATGTTCACACATACGTACATACACACATATGGCTCCTTTAACAAGTTGCCTTTTCAATTTAGTTCAGAAAACATGTATTGTCCCTATTAAGTCATTCTACAAAGATACTATGGACCCAGAATTGAATAGTATAGGGCCCCTGCAACTGAGGAACTTTCAGTTTTAAGACATGCGGTTTTAAACCGGATTAAATTAAGAAACATGTAAGAATGACTGCATGTAACACATCAGCTTTTTGTGTATAAAATTAATTATTTGTTCAGGCAAAAGGTTGAAACGTGTTCATTATGACTTTATACAGGCCATTCATTATCATCGGTAAATCCTTTCTTGATTCATAGAAAGATTCCTCAATATAGCCTAAACCAGCATATAGGCTGAAAGAACGCAGTTTGCATTAAAAGATTTCCGCTTCAATTTCAAATGGATACTCCTGTAGTCTGAGCTCATGAAATGTGATGACAGCCAAGTCATGTTCTCTTCAAACCAAGGCGCCGCCCCTCTGTGCACATCTCAGCCCACACCCTTTCTCTGCCGAGGCGTGGCATCCGCAACACAGCTCAGCAAAGTTCCCTTTCACTGCCCTGCGACTGTCTCTCTGCAGAGCTGCTACAAGGATCTTCCCAAACACGGAGAAAATGAACTTTCAGCAGTAACTTAAAAAGCCATTGCCATTTCTTAAAACCCTCGTACACCAAGTTTAAAAAGATGAGACTTCGCAACTTTATTGTTTTTTAATTCACTGATGAAGACCATACAAGTTGTGCTCATTTCAATATTAAGAAATTAAAACCTCCCTGGAGACGTCCTCTGCCCTGGAGTAGGTTACATCTTTCAACTGCAAACAGGCTGGCCAGCTTGCAAGCAGACATTCTCCCTGGGGCTGAAACATGTATAACCTCATGCTGTAGTGTTTAGGGCTGAGAATGAAATGATTGGAATTTTGTTTTGTTTTGTTTTATTAGCCAAAGGAAACTAAAAATAGGATCTATAAAATAAAATATAAGCTATAAGAGAAAATGCATGGAAGATATATTTTGTTTTAATGCTTTAGCTGCCGGCCTCCCATGGCAGAGATGATAGAATGATGTCAAAGAAAGAAAAGAAGCTTTGGTTAGTTTGCTCTAAAGCTTTAAAATGACACAGTGTGAGCAAATGGAGAACGGCCCATGAAGGGCTGTTCCCGTGATGCTGTCGCTTTGTCAGCCAGAAGTTGCCGGCGACGAGCCTGCATCGCTTCCTGGTTTCAGGCAGCGCCATCTCAACTTCTAAGCAGCCGTCACTGGCACACTTGCCTCTTCTGCTCTCCTACTTGCTAATGCAACCAAGGGAAAAGCAAAACCCGAGTGGAGAGAAGACGGAGGGGGATGGATGCATGAAGACTGGCTGTTCAGGCTGTGTGAGCTTCTTAGCAATCCTGAAGTACAGTCAGGATTGTTTTTCTAGAGAAGAATGAAAGGGAGGGAAGGAGATTGGGAGGGAGGGGAAAGTGGGAAAATGAAAAAGAGAGGATCCAAAATAGGCTGCGGGTGCTCTTTGCCGAAGCCTAACTTTAATTTCCTTCAAGGCTGGGAACCAGTGGAGGAACTGAAACTCCCTGAAGAGAAGATGGCAGGGACATAAACTAATCTGGCAATTTAAATTTGGGAATACAATATAATGGGCACGGTTTCCAATGAAGGCAATATGAATCCATGTTAACTGGAGTTAAAACAATGGCACCGTATATTTAAAGTAGCACTTTGCATGTCTAAGTATTAAAAATTCCTTATAATATCTCCAGGGGTTCTCCAGTAAGCCATGTTTGTGCAGATATCAGTGACAAGAGGGGTCTAAGCTCTATCCCTGGTTCTAACACACCACATGACCTTGAGGCCTGGCCTTCTCTTCTGTAACATGGGGATAAGAGACCTACCTGTCAGGATTATTTTGAGGAATAGACGAGATTACACATTCAAAACAATATGCTCCATTTCAGCAGCACTGCTCATCCCGTGTTTGTTAGTTTTGAAGATATTATGATCTTGTCAGCCCTTGGAATGGCCACACTTTGGGAACTTGAGGTGGCAGGGATTATGCTCAGAGAAGGTGGGAAGACCCGAGCCTCCTTGCTAACTGAACCTTCATTCCACCCTTTCCTATTTTTCCCTAGCACTCCAACCAAATGAGTGACTTAATTTGTCACACGTCATGCAGATTTGGGGTACTCTGAAGACACAGACTGTGGACCAGACTTCCCACACTAGAGCTCTCAGCCCACACGTGAGTACTGCATGTCACACATAGGCCTTGGAGGATAACCTTTCTTCCTTTCATTTTCTCTGTGAAGAAATATTGTGATCGATGTCTGTTAAGACCTCGGCAAAAATCCTGCCTCTCTGGAAGACCAGGAATAGAATGTGTGTGTTGGGGGAAGGGATGGAGATGGAGAGGAGCTAAGAGTTGACATTTCTTGAGCACTTACACTGTGCCAGGCACTGCCCTGCGTGCGTTACTTATGTGATCCTCATAACAGCCCCTCTGATGAAAGTAATATTATTCACCCCATTTCTGTAAGGAGGACACTCAACATAGAGAAGAGGGCAGCCAGGATTTGAACTCAAGCAGTCTAATTCCTGACTCCACATTCTTCACCACTCACCATAGCTGTCTGCTTAATTTAAAAGTATTTTATGCCCACTGTGCGACAATATACCTGGCCCATGGCAGGATATGTATTCACATTATCTGCTTTCAATGTGATGGAAGAGATTAACTTCATCTAAAAACTTGGGTGTTTTAATTACATACTCCCCTTTGAATATCACTGCAAAGATGTAAGATAAGACGGGTCCACGTTAATGATCCTGAGAACCTTGATTTTTATACTTTTCACCCCAGAGATGTGGCCATTTATCTCTGGCTTTGTTTCCTGTTAGTAAGTCAGTTCTCTGTGACAACACGGATTGTCTGCTGTGCTCCTGATCTCATGATTACCCTTGGAACAAAATTAGAATTTGGTGTAGAAGCTTGTTAGCCTGTCCACTGCTTTTTACTGAAAGTCTAAGAAGTTCCTATCTATTGCAATCTTCTTTGCAATCCTATTGATCCATTCGAAGAATCCCTGCATTCTCAGGGTAGCTTAAAGATTTACATACTACCAGACAAAACTCCCAGAATTGGTTTCTGATCAGGATTCAGAATGCAATCATCACAGGATGCAGAAGAGGCCTTCAAATATAAACAGAATGAGCAAGTAAGAATTATAACAACAATGCAAACTATCCTACATCTAGGTACTGTGTTGTTTAGACCAATGATGACTCAGACTCCGTGTTTCCTGGGATCCAGACGCTTCTCTTTACGTGCTTACTGAATCCTGCACCTCACCCTGCAGAGCATCAGATACAGCAGAGCATCAGATACAGCAGATCCCACACCGGAGCCGTTATCCTTCCTCTCCCAAAGCTGTTCGTCTTCTCCTGTCCCCTTACTTCGAACGTGACATCCTCAGCCACCTATCCCTCAAGCTATACATCTCATTGCTATTGTCAGCTCTCTCCTGCCTGATGTCTCATAGCAAATTATGTTTATCTTGCAAATCGTGACACTGCATCCTGAATGGTGCACGAGTCTGCCCCATCCTTACTGGCACTTCCCAGGATTCGCCACCACCGACCTTGCCTGGGCTGTTGCCACAACCCTCCATCTGGTCTTGCTGACTCATTTCATGACCCTAAAATCTATCCCTGACCCTGAACATAGACCAAGAGGGGCGGTGGGGGCTGATGAAAGACTGACTGTGAGAGCGTGGGGGTGTTACATCACTTCTACATTGTGAAATGTATGTCTTGTTTAGCACATTCACAAATGACACAAAGGAAATGTCACATCTGACAAGGCGAGCCTCAAGGCCATCCTCAGCATGAATCTCACCTTGGTTCCTTGAGCTTGATATATTTCAGGTGTTCTCAGCTGGCCATAAAAGTAGATCTAAACAACGAGATGTTTCAAAGAGATAAAGAAACCCCTGTACGCTTCAAAGAAATCAAAGGAAAAAGCACAGAGCAGGGGAGACACAGGTCACATGTGAAAAAATAACACCTTTTTGTGTCTGTCAGCTTAATTTATGCTGAGAGAGAAGGAAAAGTGGATGCCTTGAAGATAAATAAGCAGTGTATAGTGGCCAATGTGGAGGAGAGAATTCCAACATGCCCTGGGCTATGCTGCCCATATCTGACGTTCCTGAAATAAGTTCCAATCTGCCTACTCTTGGGCATCCCCCATGTCACTTCTCCCCTTTCCGTGTTAGAAGAGCCCACTTACCTGCATGACCTTGGCCAAGTCACTTCACCTTTCTGTACTTCACTTCCTCATCTTTAAACTTAAAATGACAATGTTACCTTGCAGAGGTGTTTGCTGAAAGTTCACAAAAACATTCTTTAAGAAGCTATTCTTCTCATTTCCCAGATAACTAACAGAGGCTCAGCGAGGTTAAGTAACTTTCCCAAGGTCACACAGCTAACAAATTGCCTCGACTGTTGGATACCTTACTCAGCCTGCCAGGGGCTTTCTCTCAGTCCCTCTCACTGAGCACATACACCCCCCTCTCCCTCCTACACAACACAAGTGGGTGAGTCTTGTTTCTAGTTCCATCCTGGCTCACAGTCACCTGTGCCTGTCATTCTACAAAGAATCAGATACAGTGAAAGTCATTGATATTTCTCTTCCATACTGGACAGAACAGGAAACATGATACTTAGTTCCCACTGTCTGATCCTGTTCGGTTCACTAGAAATGCACTCACTGCAGAGAGCCTTACCCATGGCAGACATGCAGTAAACAGTGTCTGTCACCTCTCTGTCCCTTCTGATCCATCACGTACACATGTGAGCGTGTGTTCGTGCATGTGTGCATTTTCCCTCAGAGTTCACCTCTAAACCTCACCATGCTGGCCCCATTCATATCATTTACTCCAATGCTTTGATCGTGAAGTCTGCTTTCAAATAGTTATGGATTTTGGGTCCTTAGGTATCCAAGTTCCAGGGAAAGAAAAGTGACAGCTGAGGTGTCAAGAGTAAAAAGGAGAAAAAAATGTGGGGGCGTGGAACACACATTTTCTCTCTCTCCCTCTCTCCCCCTCTCTCTCTCCTCCTCTCCCCCTCCCCCTCTCCCCCCCCCCCTCCTCTCCCTCCCTCTCTCTTTAAGAATCTGGCACAAAGAGCTCACCTCCTTCCTGCCAGGGACGGAACAAGAGTTACTTGGCAACAGTCTGAAGCCAGATGTCACCCTCATCTGGTTGCCTTGGCTGGTTAGTTGTTTGGAATGAGCAGCCCAAACACAGTGCAGGCGGGGCTCCTGTGAGGCTGTGGGCGCCCAGCTGGGTGACAGCTCTAGCAATGCCCTGACCCTCAGGGGCGGGGTGGGGACGGGTTAGTTCACGGGCAGCTCTCTCCTCAGGGCAGGGTCAGCAGGAGGCAAAGGGGCCCTCCGGAAGGGCACACTTGCTTATTCCCTGTTGGCTCTCTCCCGAGAATGAGCTGCCGACCCAGCTCCCTGTAGCACTGGGCCCAGACTTGTCTTGCTCTTTACGAAGATGAGGCTCCCAGTGAATTTGGGATCCAGTCCACAGTGGAGCAGCCCCTGCTCCCCATGGCCTCTTTGTCCAGCGTGCAAGGCCGTACTCTGGGAAACAGATGGTGAGAGCAAAGCACAGCACAGCCTCTGCATCTGAAGTCCTGCGGCCTTGGCCTAGTGAACTTCGGCCTTTGTGGCCTTTGCCCAGGCCGAGTTCAAAGCCACCGTGAGGCACCCCGGGGAACAGCCACGCTCCTGGGCAAACATTCCAGCGAGGAGACACTTGGCTGCAGAACGGAGGAGGCAGAAATCTGTGCCTGGGAACAGGCACGTACCCCATTCACAGTCTGGTGGCCAAATACCGAAGGGTCTTGCACTGAGGGGGGTGGCCCTCGGGACCAAGCTTGTCCTCTGGAATGAGCCCCCAGTGTCACCGGAAACCCAAGGCAGGCGCCTGTAGAACAAAGCCGAGCGCTTAGATGTGTATTTGCACACACATCAGCGTGTGTGACGGGAGGGCGGCGTGTGGTACAACCTGCCAACAGGCCCATTTTGGTCACCATCTGCCATGGAGAGCCCGAGCACCTGTCGCAAACAGCTGCTGATGGCAAAGCATAGGTGAGGGAGGGACGGAGGGAGGGAGGCTGCCCCGCCCCGGGATGGCCTATGGCGGGGAGCGCAGGGCCTGTCCCCACAGGAATGCCAACTGTTCATCTGAAGCCCATGCCATTTAGGAGGGGGTGTGATGAAATCTTGGCTGTTCAGTTACTTCCTGATGGGCAGGGTGGGAGGAATGTCACTGTCCTTGCCTTGCGGGTACCAGGTAGGACAGTCGCTTGTCACGGGGCGCTGAGGAGAAACGCATTCAGGATTCCCCATTGGGAAGAGGAAAATTCCAGGGCAACTCTTCCCTGGAGGCATGAGCCCAGACACTCCCAGGGTGAAATCCCTGCTTCACTGTCTGTGGAGGAAGAACAGTAATGCTCCATTTTCCTGGACCCACTGGGAATGAGATGTCCCATCTGTGTCACCTGGTGAGGGGATGGGTTGAAATGAGCATCAGAGGGTGACACGGCTCAGGGCTGGGTCCTCTGAAACATTTTCCTCTAGGTAGGTCAACAAAGTTTACTTCATGAGGAGAAAATAGAAACTTTTATTACTGTAATAACTTTTAATGAAAACATTTTCTAAAGTGAGGGATGTGCTCCCCTGCCCACCATGTTTTCAAGTATTTGTTCTGTATTAACAGCTCATTAGTTAGAGGAATTTTACTACCTAATTGTTTAACTCCTCACATCAATCCTATCTGGCCGGTGCAGTTTTTATCCTATTTGCCACATTGGAGGACTAAGGCTTAAGGAGGTAATGTCACTCATCCTGGACTCACAGCTGGTCTGTGCAATGCTGGGGCTCCAGCTCCAGCCCAGCCTGCGTGCCTTCAGCCTCCAAGCTTGGAATCAGTCGGCCACCCTCTGACTTCCTCCCATTTGCATCCTCCAAGAATTTCAACTTTGTGAGGCCTTAATGAGCACCCGCGATTGTGCAAAGCAAACGCATGCTGGGCCTCTGTGGGACACACACACACACACACACACACACACACACACACACACACACACACAAGACATGCACTATGGGTTCTTCTGGGAAGCTTTTCTACACAGAGCCCCCTGACAGCCTTTCGCTTGAGTGTCAAAGCCAGCTTG